CGCTCCCCGTCCCACGTTGCCGACGCGGGGCAGGGAAGTGAAGGGACTAACAAGCTCGCCCGCCTGCGCGCCCGCCCAGAGGTAGCCGCCTTTCCCGGGGACTGCCGGGGTCCTTGTCCCTAGGCTGGGCTCGGAAGCCCGCATTTCCCAGATCAAGTTCCAGTCTTCCAGCGGGTCTGGCCGCAGCCCAAGTCGCTCTGGGTCTGGACACTGAGGGAGGGGGGTACTAGAGCCCTAACCCCTCCGCGCACCTAGGGTCGGGGTCGGGGTCGGGGTCCCCGCGGTGAAGGCAAAGTGTGGACGCAAGCAGCCCTCGCCGGGGACAGCTTGGAGGAGAGGGATGAAGATGCAGAAACAAATCCAAACCCATCGAGTGCAGCGCTACCTCCAGGGTGGCAGGCCGCCAGCGCTGCTCTGCGCTTTCGGTGAATGAACTCCTGAGCACGTTTTCCTGTCGCCTGGGGAGGGAGGGTTCTGTTTGTCGCCTGCCCCGCCAGCCCTCACCTAGAGAATGCGGGTCGGAGAGGGATGGGGAGGCGGGCGTGTCTCCTGTTGCTCTGTCTTCCCACCGCTTCACGGCGGCATCTGCATCTGGGGCCGGGCAGTAGGGGCACTTGGAGAATGTGGAAGAGGAGGCTTGAGGAACTACAGGAACCTTGGTTAGTTCTAAACCACAGTCTCCGTCACGGGTCGGGTGGCTTCCTTCTCTCCATATTTGAATTTTAAAATACTTGTTTAGGGTAAAAAGAAAAAAGAATGGATCCGAGCCAAGCTTCATAGAGGGAACCCTGAAAGGAGAAATCCGTTCACTGCACACCTTACCCCTCTCCCCCTTTAAGATGATGACTATAGACTGATAGAGTAAACTAATGGTCTTGAGTTGCCCTTTTACCTGTTTGGAGGGGTTTCTTCTGTCAAAAGAAATTTTAAAAGACCACTTGGGAGAAGGATTTTGTCCCTATTTTTCCAAATTATCTTTAAAATTGGCTACCATCATTACAGATCTTCATTTTTTGTTCACCTCTGTAAGCCACCTTTTTTTAGGTTCATCTGAAGCCAAGATTTTCAGGCAAACCACCTGCTACTTAGCACAAGTCTGGTATGTGAAGCCCCAAATCTAGCAAGTGTGTTACTGGTGTTTGAAAATCATCAGGAGGTAATGTGTAAGGACAGGTCTTGGGGGGTATGTAGGCTTCCTGCTAAGAGTTTTTCTTTTTCTTTTTTAATTTTCAAAAAGTAAATATGGAGATGAAGGTTTTTGTCATAAGTATTGCTACTGAGATCAATTTCATTCCTACACTTCTAAAAGAATCACTGCAGGAGAGCTACCTGTTTATAAAATTCTGGTTAATAGGACATCTTTTTCTTATAAATAAATGTGGGTACTATTTTTCCTCCTTGGTGGAAAGTAACCACAGAGAATTTTGACAGTTTGTTCCTGAAAATTTTCACTGTATCTACAAATAAGTAATGGCAGGGTTTTTTGTTGTGTTTTGTTTTTTTTTGTGGGTTTTTTTTTTTTGGTTGTTCAGGTGTTATTCTTTTCTTTCCTTGTCTTTTCTGCATGTGAATTGGACATCTTAAGATAATGCACACCCAGAAAAGGAAGTAACTCACTTAGGAGAAATGCGGTAGTACAGTGTACTTAAATGCAATCCTGGGCAATGGGAGAAGACTGCTTGCTGGTGACCTCCAAAGGCCTTCCAGTGAAAAGAATCTGTGTTGGGCTCAGCAGTGAGAGAAGTAAAACATGGCACTTCTCCATGTGATGAGTGTAGACAGCAATACCAAATGCTTTAAGTTTCCAAAATGAATTTTTTTTATCTCAAAACCACAATCCAGGTACACAGAATTTCTAGGTATCAAAGTTTAACAATTAGATATCTGTCAAACAATTAACTCAAAGAGACAGAATAATAGTGTTTGCTGATTATCTTAGATCTGATCTGTGATGGTGGCTGGCTACTAAAAGAAAGGATTTAAATTATCCATAAATGAGTAGAACTCATCCCCGCCCCTCTTCTAAAAGCAATACCCTTAAGGGAATCAGTTTTGTTGAAAGAGGCTGGAAATGTATATTTTCAAGTAAAAACAAACAAACAAAAACCTTCATTGAGTAAGTTTATCCATTTTAGGTCATAATAAGGATAAAAAATAAAAGACAAAATCTTGAATGATTCCTATTGTAGTTGGATTATGCATGGGGCACAGATAATCTGGCATTTCTCTTCATCCCACATCATATTTTTGCAAGATGTAGAGAGAGGACTATATGGGCTTTTTAATCAGAAACATTGAGTTGGAATCCTGGGCCTAGGCGTTTCTAGATGAGGAACCTTGATCAACTCATTAACCTTTCTGAGCCACAATTTCCTATTCTATAAAGTGAGGATAATAATGCTGTATAGAATTGAGAGTATATTGGGTAAGCTAATGCTTGCAGAGACACAGAGTAAGCATTGCCACAGTTAACCAAATTAACATGGGACATGAGAAAGTTAAACACAGTGTGTGTGTGTGTGTGTGTGTGTGTGTGTGTCACAGGTTTTGACACACAAGCTGGATGTGGATGCCCACATTAGTTTTTTCCCCTCCGTCTGCAATCGAACTTTTTTGATTGAACACTCTAGCCACACTATTTAGGATTTCAGAGAAAAATGTACCTAGCAAGAATTGCCTACCATTTTGAGCAAATTGCACCAGAATAATTTGAAAATAGAATACTGTACTTAGGAAAGATTTCAGCCTTTAAAATGGTGGGTGTTTTAGGCATTAATAATGTACATTGGTTAGCATAATCCCCAATGCTTTTTCCGTGAAATACTCTAATGGAAAATATTTTTCACACCAGTCTAGTTTCTAGGAGTCAGCATTTCCAAAGTGGTGGCATTTTTAGAAGTTAGTACATGCAACACATCAGACACTAGGAAAAGAAAAAAGCAATACAGGATCATGCTTTTTCTCCCCCTCTGTAACCTCTGCATATTATAGTGACTTATTATAGATCGAATAACATTTTTTTGAGTCTCAGACTTCATGTTTTCAGTGAAGTGTTTTTCCTAATTAGAAAACTGTTCAATATGCACCTACTATGTATCAGAGAAAATGTTAGGGGCAGGAGATTGAAAAATAAACAAGACCAACACTGTGTTGTTGAAAGGCTTATAGTTTAAATGAGGAGACTAACATGTACACTGATGATTTCAGTATAAATGACAGGTACGTTTCCTTTTTCTGTGTACCTTCGGAACATAGAAGAAGAGTTCCATAAGCCAACCTAAGGGCTCAGCGGACATTATCTCATAATGATAATAATATTAACTAAAACTACCAACAACATTTATTGAGCCCTTACTATGTGCCAGGCACTTACTATGAATTTTACAAATATTAAGTTTTTAGTCCTTAAAGAACCCTCTGAGGTAGGTATTATTACTCCTATTTTATACAGGAAGAAACTGCAGCTTGGAGACTTTAATAGAACTGTTCCATTTTAAACTAGATAGTTGCCTTCATCATTTAAAAAGCCCAGAATGCTCAGCTGAAAACTAATTGGTCAAGAATTTAAGGAGTTGTCTTAACCAGATAATAACTTCAACTCTTAATTATTTATTAAAAGACGAATGCAAAGAACAAAAACAACCAGGAATTTAGAGATGGGGCATACACTATTTTAACAAAGGCGATTTTAAAACATTTTATTGTATTTCAGAGCCTTTTGAATGGACTGATGTGTTCTAAGCCTGAAGACCCAGTAGAGTACTTGGAAAGTTGTTTACAGAAAGTAAAGGAACTAGGCGGCTGTGACAAGGTGAAATGGGATACATTTGTCAGCCAGGAAAAGAAGACTTTACCTCCGCTCAATGGAGGACAGTCACGGAGATCCTTCCTAAGATCTGGTAATGTATATGCAGAATAATAGACATCTATATTTCTCATTAAAACACACCATATAAACTGTAGGCAATGATTTAATTTATTAGGTTTCCAAACTCCTGGAAGGGTATTTGACCCTGGAATATGATTCATCTCTCTCTGCTAATTCTAATCACCTCTGTGATAAGACAAACAAAATCACATACCATTGTCCAGCACTTAACTATAAATGAAGTTTTATATTACTGACGTCATTACTTTGTGAAATGAATTGCATTAGCAGACTATGAATTGTTCTTGAAATTGCAAATAAGACTTTTCCAAATAAATGAGATGACAGACAAAAATGATAGTTACTACTAGCTGGGAAGAGATTTGATTTATTAATATTCAGAGTTCATATTAATGCATCTGCATAAATGCATGTAAGGTTTATACTTGTTAATTCAACAGGGTTTATTAAGCAGCTACTGAATGCAATACATCACATTAGGCATTTGGGTGCTATGAAAGAAGTAGAAGACGTGAACATGTTTAACAATTTTAGGAATAGTTTGAAGCTAATTTGCTAGAGGAGATTCATGGTATTCTGATAACTTTCTGAAATAGCTGTTTGTCAAAATTAGTGGTTCAGCATCAGCCAACCAGCCTTTTAGACTCCGCATGAAATTGAGATGTAAAATAGTACATGCAAAATGGAATCAGTTCCAGTCAGGGGAAACTAAATTAATTCCTTCCCAGTAGCCAAGATCATTATATTTTCCAAATTCAAACCATTCTCAAAAATTGTACCAGTGCAAAATTTCAGCTAGATAGACAGAATTTGAAGTGAACATCATTCCATTTGCAGTAAGTACCAGGGGAAATAAATCCTAATTTATCTTACTTAGTCATGACCCACTTGGGTTTTATCTGAATGCAGTGTGGGAAAAAGTCAAATGTGTTAATTTTTAAGAAACACAAGCAGAGAGGGAAAGCAGAAACCTTGGCTCAGAAACATCTCCAGAGAGGAGAAGAATCCTTCCCTGCCCATGCAGGAGTCATCACTGGGGGATTTGGAATTGGATGCTTAAGAGAGCACCTTTAGCCAGTTACCGCTGCAACACACCACATAGTAAATTACTGCTTCGGGGAATAAAATGATATTTTCATGGGTCTGAAGAGTTTATACACATTCCCAAAATGGCTAATTTACTTCCCAGGGTGTCATTATATTGTTAGAATCTGGCTCAATGTTAAATACATGCCCCAGGCCCTAGTTAAATCAAGTGAGACTAATACGGGTAACTGCTTTCTAAACCTTAAAGCACTAACAAACCTCAGGTAGTACTGGATTTAGTCTAAGAAATTTTTACCTTTTTAAATTTAATTCTAAGAGGATATGATATTCTCTTAGTTGAAAGGCTGCTCTTAGACTGAGTATATAAAGTGACAGTTTTACAACACATGAAATCTGTCTCTATTTTATACTGTTTCTTGGCTTGATTATACATAGAAGCCAGACAGGCCAGTGTGTAATAGCAAGTAGTGGGGACTGTGGTCAAACTAGAGGGCAGAACTAGAGAGCAGGGGTGGGAAACCTTTTTTCTGCCAAGGGCCATTTGGATATTTGTAACATCATCTGCTTAATATGAATTTATGTTGCTATGAAAAAAGCTCCTAGACTTATTGAATTTTGAGTCTCACCTGCAGTTGCCTTGCAGGGCTGGACCAATTGATTTCGTAGGCCTTATACGACCCTCGGGCCGGACGTTTCCCACCCCTGGTCGAAAGACAAGAACAAAATTTGAAAAAATGTCAAGCTGCACAAAACATTTCTATAAGACTCTTTTTGGGCCCACACATGATCAGTTTGTAACTCCTGATCTGGCAGAAGAAGCTAAAATAGGAATGGAAAATGTAGGTTTAACTTTCATTAGAATTAAAATTGCTTGTCTATTTTAGCCTCCATACTTGTTAATAGTCACCAGAATTCCCACTCAGAGACTTTTCTTTTGAGGTTGGAAACTAATTATGAACATTTTAGGAACTGGAAAGATTAAGTTTAGCACAAAGACAAATGCCTGATTTCTATTTCAGAAGGAACGAGAAAAATGAGTCATTGTTTAGTTTTCTTATTGTGTTGGGGGAAAAAACAACAACCACCTGACATTGTTTTTTAATACCATCAGTGCCACCACTTTAAAAAATAAAATTTAATAAAAGTTATTGTTATTGTTGAAAGTATAACAGATGTCCCCCTTTTTAAAAATTAATCATCAAATAGAATGTTTCCATGTACTATAATGACAAGAATGCTGTACCATACTGTCCTTTTTCTAGAATGTATGCTGCAAAACAGACAAAGATTTGTCTTGTAATAATAAAATTTTATTTAATGAAATGCTTTACCCATTTGTGCTTTATAGGTTTTAGGTATAATTTATGGAATGGGTTTTCAATTCAACAAAATTGCTAACTTCACAGTAATTTAAAGCATTATGATTATTTCTAGGAATAAAAAGTTATTTATGCATTCTTGGTAAAATATTGACATACCTATGCTAATATGTAATTACCATGCAAAATTATTCTATGACATAAAACATTTTAATCATTTAAGCAAATTACTTCCCTAAGTAAAAATATGTTAAAAATAAACAAGGATAAATTATTGGCCGGTAGTTCTTTAAAGCATATTACTATAAATGTGAGATAAGCATGTGCTTTTTTCTGCTATATGTATACAATTGAACAAATAACAACCTGTGAATAAGAGTTCTGGTCCCATAGTTCCAAATGTACATAGCATTTCTCTTCTGGACTATCGCTTTGTCATCTTGTACTCAACATATCCAACATCAAACATACAAACATACCACATTTGCTTCAAAACCAGCACTCCCTTCTCCTTTTCCTATTTTCATGAAGTCAGTCAGTGAGTCAAGTTGAGCAATAAAATAACCATTTATTGAGTATTATGTGTCAGATTCTTACGACTGAGCATGTAGACACCAAGAAAGAACAAACATGGCACCTGCCCCCATGGAGCTTACAGTCTAGCAAGGAAGTCAAGCATTAAAAATATACTTAGAAGCACAATGGGTGCTATAGGAAATGTCATATGCTATAGAACTAACCATATTAACAGGAGAATGGCTCCCATCTAGGCTGGGGTTCAAGATGCACTTCCTGGAAGAAGTGACATGCTGATCCTCAGAGACAGTAAGCCATGTAGGTGTTAGAGAAGGATGGATGTTGAAGTGCACAGTGAACAGAGAGAGAATAGAAGTTCCTGACGTAGAGAAGAGGCTATGATAGAGACAGGAATGAAAGAAGCTCAGTATTCCCAGAACAGAGAAGAAAGGACAGAAAGATACTATATGAAATGCAACGCATTCCTTATCTTTTCAGACTTGAAACCTGGCAATTGTTTTTGAACTGTCACCTCCTTTCATTTCTCTTATCCCAATTCTAACCATGTCCTTTATATCCAGACATTCATTTCCATTTCTTCTACTATCCTGCTAACCTGATCCCTTACTTCTCACCTGTGGATTACTTTAACAGCCTCTGAGCTGCTACTATTTCTGCTCCTAGTCTCTCCCTACTCAAATCCATTCTAACCACTACCAGATTAATTTTCCTTAAAAATTTTCAATTTCATCATGTCATTTTTCTACACCCTCCCCCCCCAAAAAACTCTCCACTGGCTTTCTACCAAATTAAAGCTAAACACCTTTACTCTGATATTCAAAGCCTTCCACACTGTACCCACACTTTACCTGCCCATCTTCTGGCTTTTCTCCACGGGAAACTGTCTATTTCAACAAAGCTGTTCTCTTTGTTAATGGTTCAACAAATATTTATTGGACACTGATTGTGCCAAGCACAGTTCTAGATCCCAGGGATACAGAGCTCCAGATAGGTAAGGTCCCCCCAGTCAGCCATGGGACCAACAGAGGAAGAACATTTTAGGCAATGAATTGTGGGGACAGCGTGGAAGCAGGCAGACCTTCGAGAGTCTATGATAGTAGTTTAGGTAAATGATGACGGCTTAGAGAAGAGTTTGGGAAGTGGAGATGGATTTGGGAAATACTTTGGAGCTAGTCTCTGGGAGTAGACATGAAGAGTGAGGGAAGAAAGTAATCAAGGATACTGCCTAGTTTACATTATCCACCTGTGTTGGGTGATGTAATTCAATTTCAAGACAGAACAGGATACTGTTGTCAGTGCCTTCCCTGATGTAGCCCTTCCCAGAATTTTCTAAAGAATATCCACTGTATGTTCCTCTAAGCCCAAATTAATGACTTTGACCCTTTACGAAAAAGTTTTCTAACCACTTATGAGATGGGGTCTTGCTCAAGTTGAAAAAAAAATCAAACTCATTTAGTTTTTAAATGTTGTTTACTAATTAAGTGCAAAAAAAATGTTTTATTATGCTATTTTTTTTCCGTTTCAAAGTTGTCTTACTCTTTTGCAGTAATGCCTGAAAATTCAAACTTTCCGTATCGGCGGTATGATCGGCTCCCTCCAATCCATCAATTCTCCATAGAAAGTGATACAGACCTCTCCGAGACTGCAGAGTTAATTGAAGAATACGAGGTTTTTGATCCTACTAGACCTCGGCCAAAAATCATTCTTGTCATAGGTATGAGGACAGAAAGCAAAATTCTCATACTATTGCTAACATTGTGTATTTATTTGCATTTCAAAAAATTAAGTCAGATAAAAAATGGCAAACAATAGAAACAAAAGCTCAAGAGACAATAGATGGAAATATTTTTAGCATAATTTTCAATACAACAGAAATTGTTATAATTATATAATCTAATGCTGTTTCACTTTTATAGAATCCATTACAGTGTCATAGAAATTCTCTATAATGAAAGTAAGGATGAATCCCTTCAAAATTTTTTGTCCTGTGGTTTTGACTGTTTAATTTTTAACATAGATAACTGAATTTCTTAGAAGTTTTCTAAACACAATGGGTTTTTCCCTTTAACCCCCCAAAATTGAATATTTATTCACTATTAACTTTAGAAACAATAATAATAATAATATGTTGGTAAAGACTCATATAAGTGAATCATCCTTAGCAATTATAATAAAACTAGAGGCCCGGTGCATGAAATTCGTGGGGGCGGGGGGGTGTCCCTCAGCCCAGCCTGCACCCTCTCCAATCTGGGACCCCTCGGGGGATGTCCGACTGCCAGTTTAGGGATGTGAGACTGCCGGTTTAGGCCCGCAGGGATCAGGCCTAAACCGGCAGTCAGACAACCCTCTCACAATCTGGGACTGCTGGCTCCTAACCACTCGCCTGCCTGCCTGCCTGATTGCTCCTAACCGCTTCTGCCTGCCAGCCTGATCACCCCCTAACCACTCCCCTGCCAGCCTGATCGACACCTAACCACTCCCCTGCCGGCCCAATTGCCCCCAACTGCCCTCCCCTGTAGGCCCGGTCCCTCCCAGCTGCCCTCCCC